ATTAGCTTGGAATAGCTAATGATTTGCTAGAAATACATGCATTTGAGATCATTGGAACAAATGACATAAATAAAAGAAATTCTATTGAAAGGATTTGTAATACTGATGACTATTCATATTGATAGCATGTAAAGAGCAAAATAGTTGTCAAAGCGGGGATCAATTCATGGGACGCATATGCATGTTATAAGCCATAGCTAGCGACTATTCAATGCCGGCCCTTGTTTTTTAAAGGAAATTAAATTATCATAATAAGTCGTACGACAGCTATTTACGACGTCGCATTAATACGTTAGTCGAGAAGTTTTAATTTATAGCTACATTAGTCGTCCAAGATGTTTCAAGTATAATATTGAATTGTATTAAAACTAACGCAAAAACTAACAATACTCCATCATATTTATAGTGTTAGGAATATAAAAAAACTTCACACAAAATATAATACATATTCATTTACAATGAACATACATTTTAGGTCCTATAAAAAGGACTTAGAAATCATTCAAATATACGAGTATGTACCTATACGTCAAAACAGAGCTCAGTAATCTAGACCCGAGTGAAAGCTATTGCTAGCCAAAATAAAGAGTAATATAATCCACGAAAAACAAACAATGCGGTCGCGAACAAAGACAGGGAGCAAGACAATATGTTTTTATTCGCATGTCCCCTCCAAGGGTTGAGGGCTGCCCTCGGGTTGCCGGCACAATGGTAACCGAATCACGAGCTGTTATTGCAACACAATTACTGCTGATTAGCTATTGAATGTGCTCTAATTCTTCGATTCATAGTTTAAACGAGATATGATACCCAGTATCCAATGTTACCCCAGGCGGAGATGTTTGTGTGAGAACTGGTGGCTCATCATGTAATGTAATAATGAGATCTAAGGTTTACGCGAGTATTCATTTAAATGAAACTAATATTTGATGACGAGATGTCTGTCGGTGATCACGGTTGCTGTAAAGTAACCGAAACGCGGGAATGTGTAGTTTTCAATCAAAAATAAAAATCGTTTCATAAAATAAGTTTCATTTAAATTAAACAGATATTTTCCTAATAAAAATGGGGATAATAAAAGATAAAACTGTTTCTAAATATCTCACAGCGTTGATTAAAAATCTGTCAAGTGTTCGCAAGTTAACCGTAATTATATCCGGAGTAATAAACATAGCGACCAAGAGGCTTTGATGGAACGCTTCGGACAACACAGATAAACGATGTTTGAATATTAAATGATTACATTAATACTATCTTAGGTTTATATTTAATATATTGCATGATATATCTGAATAAAATGTGTTTATTATATTTGTACTGTTTAATAATTTGATTTTAACATTAAAACATGATTATTTTCAATATTTCCATAATAATTGACCACTTGACTTGACCTCTAAACACCTATGTAAATAAGGGGTCAAAGTTATTATTTAATATGCCTAAATGACTAGCTAAATACATTTATATATGTGGATAAACTCAAAGATTATTATGGAGACGAATCAAAATAATCTTTGGGAATTAGAGCATGACACTTGACCGAGATATTTATATCAGATATTTACTCAAGAAATGTTTGGTTTGCAATGTATGTGTGTATGTGTGTCATTGGTGAAGCACGTGGTGCTGACTTATATACTTTCCCATGGGGTCATCGACACTGGCCCATGGCGACTTTGGAGTACCATCACGGCGACCATAAAAGTGTGGCGTCGTTATGGGTGGATTAAGAGGTCGTAAAACAAGACCTTGAATACTTGTGACGCTCGGATATTGTCTGTTTGTTTGTCACGCTGTGATACGAATGGAAATGTATGAATTTCACCGTCCGGCCATAAATATTACGTTTGAATAGGCGAATGTGTTCCAACGTCCTACGATATCAAATCGTGCATTTAAATACTACAATAGAAAGAATTATTTTATATCGTAATCGAATTTAAATTTTATTATAATATATAATAGATAAATATTCGCTAATTACTCCTCATCGGGAATGTCGTAACTTTAGTACACTTGATACGCGTGACGCGACCGCCATATTAAAACATGGCGCCTAAGTGACAGCTTTTTTAGCGGCATTATTTATTGCTGCATTGTTCTTATTTTTTTATGAAGAATTGAACATCTATTACTAATGAGCTCGTGATTTAAATTACAAGGAATAGTTGGACGAGGAGTGCTGTTTATGAATTGTTTAAAAATAAAATATTTGCTCCACATATATTGTTTTTGAGGGCGCGTGCGCACGATCATGTTACCGTCCGTCGTACGCCAGGTGGGAACGGAGCTGTATTGTAATACGCATTAGCAAAACGTACGCTTTTGATATACTTTATGCTATGCTCATTTCATTAACCCATTGACTCCATATCGAGCTGTACAACATATGCCTGTATAAGATTTCTTACATATAAATAATTTTAAAGGTGTCGCTGAATTTAAAGGTTCCTCTAAACATATGGAAGGTCATTTTATTACGTTTTATTACTGAGTGCATTCCAATATGGCTGTCGAGTCCGTTCCTGGTACTCGTAGTAGCTGTATAAACAAAGAGCAAAACAAAAGAAGCGCTACATTAAGACGTATGACCTCTCTCAAGATGACACAATAGTAAACTCTCATTTGGCAGGATTAATGGTAATGGAAAAGTCGGGTTCCTCCCTCCAGCGGGGTAGGTACGGTCGGGGGGCGGGAGGGGGGTAGTATCGGCCAGTGACGTCACGATTTATGCCTCTATTTGTCCGACAAGATGTTCTCGAGATATGACCGGTAAATAGCCGTTAGATAAGTTCCCATTGTCATACGATATGTTTGATTCATAATATTCGCGACTTTCCCACGACACCCGACAGAGGCACGCGTCGCGCGAGTGTCACAGCTCCAGACGTATATCTTAATTATATTAACAATATTTTTTTTAGATCGTAATTAAGGTTTTGGCAAAAGAGTTCAAAGTATCGCGAGAAAGGAGAATTAATGTAATGTTTGGTTAATATTGAAATTTATTTAGGAAATATATAATGTTATATACATAGTGACTAATCAGGACATGATAACTCAGTCGCTAAAGCAATTGGAATGTGTTATTCTGAAGATTACAGGTTCGAGACCCGGTCGTCTCGTTTAATTTTTTCATTTTAATTCTACTAATTAGTATTTAAATTTTATAATCTTGAGAATTAAAATACATTTCCGCATCTGCTATCATTGTAATATCTTTAAGACATAACAATTTAATACTTTGTAATATTTATAACAGAAAACTTTTACTATAATGACTACTTATCATATAGAGCCATCAAGTTCGAAATGACAAAATACATGTTTTCCCACAGATCTCACACCGCAAAAAACTTTCGCCCGAATCATAAACGTCGCCACGCCCGTTCCAGGAATCGAACCCGCGAACCGACAATGTGTTGCGAAATTACCACTCTGCTAGCGGACCCGCCCTCCCAACCTGCTATTTATAGATCCGATCACAACAGACACGTCTCAATGTTTTGACTCACTTGTACATTGTCCTTTCAGTGTTTTTATTCTTATATATCACTATCAGTTTCTTAAATGTCCGAGTCTAAACTTAAAACGCTTCCTATCGTGTCCCTCCAATAATTTGAACGTCCATATCGCCCGACATTCCGTGCTCGCGACACTTATAGAAATATATCGGAAAATAATTACACTAAAGGTGTTATTTCAACGATCGTTAACCAAATGGCGGCTGACACCCGCTAACGATGCCAAATTACGGCCCGTCCTGTCTGTCTGTGGATAAACAAAAATTATAACAATCAAGTAAAAACAGTTCGCGAACTTTGTAAGTCATTTTCGATTCTCACATATGGTGTGAACCGAACGCATTAGCGCGACGCTTCCTGCCACGGGAATGGAAGGACCTTTTGAAAAAACAAACTTCCAAACTATTCATTTAAATTTGGAACTAGTCATTTGGAAGCGGCGCGAAACGGGGAGTCATTTTTATTAATGACGTCACAGCACAGACTATACTAGACTAAGCATCCGTCAGGCGGGTTCGGATTTTTGTTATTCCGTAATTCGAAGTTCGAATTCTGAAACACGTGTTCGATATTCAAATTAGGGAATAGAGCTGATCATCGTCAGTTCCCGCCAGTAATTGAAAGTGGCAGCGGACATCTGTTCCGAATACGAATACGAATTCGCCGTCTGTTTGATTTCTTTATTACCGTTTGATATTTCCAGTATATGTTAGTTCTATTCGTGTTCGATTTGAAACGTCACCGTTTAAAAGAAGCACTGATTTGTTTCGTATCTATAACAACTAATTCGACATTGTTTTCGATTCTATTAAGTAATTTAGCAAGAATTTAGAGTAGTGATATCGTTTTTAATGTATGCTGTGCTCTATTAGCGGGTGTTCGATTATATTAAACTGTAACAAGACACCTGAGGATTATTAGTACTCACAATCAGTTACACGAACAACTATTAATGATACATATGTATGTATTTTTATTTTATTTTTTCGGTAATTACGCTCGCGGGAAATTAATGTACACGTCAATCAAGGTGTAATAGATTTTCTGTTGTTAATGTTTTCTGTATATTAAACTCTAATATGTTTAATAATGTTTGACTATTAGTATTATATTATTGTGTTAATGCAAGCGTATCGAGCGATTCCTGGCCCATTAGTCCATGTGTAATGTCGGGCTAACGTGCGCGCGCGCATCATTACCTCGGGCAGGACTTGCGAAATAACGGGTAACTTAATATATTACAACGAACGGAAATAATATAATAGCTGACTGATGATTTTATTGTAATATCCACTAAGGTTAGCATGCTAGGTCCAAGAATTGTGGAAAAAATTCTTCTCTGTCGTTATTTATGCAAGACGATGGGTTCGTAACTTAAACCTTTATGTAATACTAGGACTCTGGTCTAAGTTCAGTATTTTTTCTTTGACTTTTAGTTTGTATATTCTCTACATGTGTTTATTTCTGTTTCAGCGGCCGCCGTCATCTTCCTTATCGTACGGTGGTGCGGTGAACGATGACGTCAGATCCCCGGGCTCCGGCGGCACCCCCGGACCTTTGAGTCAGCCCCCGCCGCAGACGCTAGACCCTGATGCAGGTTAGTCCCCATATATATAAGCATTATGTATAAGATTCAGTCGTAGTGGCCTAGAGGTACCTAGCAAGTACCAATGTGATTTTTCCGAGTCATATGTACTTTATAAGATTATTTTAACATCACTGACAGAGGGTGAAGGAAAACATCGTGAGGAAACCTGGACTTTTGAACACAATTATAAGTTGGAAATCACCAACCCGTCTTGAGCAAGCGTGGTGATTAATGCTCAAATTTTCTCCATATGAGAAGAGACATTTGCTCAGCAGTGGGCTTTGATAGGCTGATGATGATTAGGTTAAATCATCAGGAAGTAGGGTGAGTCCCGTTAGATCGAGTCTCAGATACTCGACTGAGATGTTTCGATATTCGTTTATTGTTCGCTAAAGGTCAAGGCTGTGATGACTGACGGTTTGTTAATGAGCGCCTGTCACCGCTGCAGGGCGTGTTGCTCCTACGCAGTCCCGGACCTAACAATTAACATGTCCGCACTGGGAGCCGGCTCGGAGGACGTACGTCGTCAGCCAATTTAACTGTGACAGATATTCATCGTCGCGTCACACTCCCGTCACCTTCCTCCACAAAGGAACGGTGAGGAATTCCTCAAACGTCGACTCGTCGTTCCTGTTCCTCTGAATCTCGATCGATTGTCACGTGTCATGTATCTTTCGTTCGGGATGACGGATGAGCGCGCGTTGAATGGCCGGTTATGACGTTTCGGTCCCGCGAGCCGGCGCGCACAATAGGTATTGAAATGAGGCGGTGTACGGGACCGTGATGCATGTATCGAGCTCGCATCTCCGACGATTATCGCTTTCATATGACCACGCGCTGGGTAATTTGTGTGGGATTACATTGTGTATTATTCAAAATAGATCTTCCAGCTGTTTGTGTCGACGGGCTTTAAAATAAAAAAGGAGTAAACGTATGATTTCACAAAAGACGCAATCAGCGGCGAAAGCTTTTGACAGCTGTCAAAAATGGCGAGCGCGTTGGTGCGAAAAACTAACAGGGCGTCAGCGATTGTATTTGTTTAACATTTTTCGTTCAAAAATAATTATAGTTTCGGCACACGTATGTGTAATTGTTTAGTTTGCCTACGGTTTTGATGGCGCGTACACTACATATTCAAAATAAATTGATCTTTTTTTACGGATTGACGCAAATAGGACCCATTGTATATTCATAAACTGACGAACATGTATATGTATGTCTTTGTTTCATGAAATAATATCTAACAAAATAAATTTCTATGTTGTCATTTGACCCAAAGTACTTAAGTAAGAAAGGGCTAACTTTAGTCTGTGAATTATTCAAAATTTCAAATTTCCCTATAATTCAATCACGCCTCTCTTCCCGGGGGACGCGGCAGGGGAGGGCCGGGTACGGTCCGCGGGGAGGGAGGGGAGGAGGGGATGATTATTTGCGAATTTAATATTAATTAACCGACGTGCTCGCTGCGTAATTGCGTTTTTCAATTATAACTGACAGTTATGCGATGAAATTGGATGAGATGAGATGATTCGGCTAATTGTCGCGCCGGTGAAGTTTTTTGTTCGATTCCAATGAGTTCTCATATAATACGAATAGTTAGCACAGTAATGAGACGTTCTGATGACCGTTCTCTCATATAAAAAAAAAATCAAAAATAATAAGAAACTCTTATACCTACTATGTATAGGAAGAAATATATGTATGATTATAAATATGAAATTTGATACTAACGAAAATGACAATCATGTTAGTTTCGTACAGAGCGGGCAGAGTTGGCTCTAAATTAAATTATCATTAGTTGTCTATTCCATTATCGTCAAACCTCCCCTCCGACATTGTTATTCCGTCCAAGTGCTGAGACTTAGACGTTCATTTACCGGTTACATACATTACTTATTAGTGTTACTCCACTTATAAATCTCGGATTTATATCCAGAAGATATTCTGAACGTATTTGAGACTAATAAATATATTAATTCGTCTGTGGACGGTCACGCGTACAACGGAACGAAACTCGATAATCGATTCGCCGCTCACGCTTGTCCGATTGTATTGTTTGCCTTTTTATTGATTTTACACACTCATTATGGCGGACTGTTAATTGATTGTTTACTATTTTATTATTAACTCGATAGATTGTATATATTGTTATCGATTTACATCACTGGACCGATGCTGATCGAGTTTTTATCATCGATAGATTCTTTTCCGTGTAATCGTTATGTCAATGTCACTACTCTAATGTGACATTCGTGACAAATAGTTGGCGGTTTTTTTCGGTGTTAAGTTTTAAAGCGAGCTGGTAGCTTCCATATCAATTACTCATAAAACGGCCCCTCGTCTTATCAATATTTCAGGCACAAATTGAAAATTACCGGGAGCCGGGAGTTACATAACTCAAATCTATCGAAACCAATAAAATATTAACTGGCAACGATTTCCCGCCTCTCGCCGGCCATCGGCTTTCGCGTCACGTCCAAGCCGCACTTACGCTCAATGCTAAATGTAATCATAAAAATTGTTGTTAATAATTCAGTCCGGGGCGACTGGTGTTTGGGGGTTGGGGGGCAAAGAGTGGGGAGAGGTGTGGGATTATTAAATTCTGTGAATGTTCTTGTATCTAATATTCGAACGTGGTTAATATTAGATTAGCGGGGGTCGCTCGAGGCGGGGTCTCCGTGATAGATTCCCGTTACTCGGAGTTTTCCTCGAATTATGATTGGTTCTATTTGGTAATGGAAATTCTCGCGTGATACCTGAGGAGTTAATTTTGGAAGGGTAGCTATGGATCGTGACTACATCTAGACGATTTGTAAATTGAAAAACGCTATTTATGGCACAGTGTGGCAGTGAAGCTATTGCTTTGAAATAGGGCCTAGATTTTTGGACAGAATTTACACTATCGTATAAGTTCTTAAAGATTATTTTCTATATATAATTATTCATAATTATAATATATTTGTACCCTGTCAGTGTCAGAAATGTTATGTTATCTGTTAAAAGTTACACACGATTAAATAACAGACTATGAATGTACATCGGTTTAATATAAATATTTTAACGTCGTGTCAATAAGTTTTAGTCTAAAAGGCGGAAAGTATAATTTTTAAGCCCCGCACCCTTCACAGTCAACCCTTTGATATTTTAAGTTCTTATATTTGTTTGCGAGCTAATTATGTATGTACGAGGTTTTTAATTCGTTATAATATTTGTTATTTTAAATACTTAACAATTAGGGCGACTGGAGTGCTTGTATCTTGGCTTTCGACTATTGATTTTATTTTTAATTCTTTCTAAATCACGAAGTTCTGTTTATATAATATTATATCTGTTATTCAACAATAGGATCGCTCGTACGTCACATGAATCACATTACAATCTTACGCGTCATGTAATACGGAGCGTTTTGTATGTTTTGATCGTATTTTTTTTATAACTTCAAAAAGGGTGAGAATTACTTTTGACGAACAAAAAGCTGTCAAAATGACAAAGTGATTCGTCATACGACTGACAGCTGCGTGTGTGTGCGAGCGGGACGGGAGATACATACACAATGACAGACAGAGACGGAACATATACAAGCGAATGCAATGATTCCTTTATGCTCTGTAACCCCATCAAAAATTTATACATATTACAAATAATTATTAATAATAATCCCTTTCTAACACAAGTCATTCATGATGCGGACATATTTTACGTCATTGTCATAAAGACGGTAATGTCATTTTCCAAAATGGAGTCAAGACGCTTCGCTTTCGTTTTCCAGTTAAAGGTTAGTTTAACAAAATAATACAAAGTTTTTTCTGTGTTCGCATCTCATAAATATAATAACATACAAATAGTTACTCATTAAAGTAAGCTACCGTGTTCATTTTGAACAATGAGGTTCGACAAATACCAATATAAGTTGAACTTCGTGTTTCTATAGCTTGGTACTAATCTCTTAAGACATAGATGAGCCGGGAGGTCTTGCATGTGGTTTCTTATTAGCATTTTTTAAGTTTGAAATATTTATTCAAGTAGCCCGTTGTAGGTTGTCTGTCTGTGTGTAAAGGGCCGCAAATGCTTCTAATACATCATCCTATGTGTTAATTTAAATAATTTACTATTTAAAGAGTTATTTCAATGATAATCACGTATTCGGTAATTAGATCTTTTGTACGCTCGTCTTGTAACTCATGTATGTATGACTTAATGATGGACGTTTAACTTTGCTACTGTGCTTTAAAATTTATATTATTATTTAAATATATATATATAGAAAATTAGAGTTTTTTTGCAAGAATAAAATCAGGATATACTTAATGTTTTCGTGAAGAAAATCATTCGAAATTTTCTAAAGGACATTCTAAAATTCTTACCTGGAAAGTATTTTTTAATCTGTAAAGTATATCCCAGGTGTTCCAGGTGAGGGGAATCCCAGAAATCTAATTTTCTAAGGCATCCGGCGATGCGGCTCGCGCGATGTTACTGTTACCGTGTACAAGATTTATTTTATATCTTTGTATGAATAGAATCTTTATTTCCTATATAAATATATTATTCCATCCAAATTCACACTAACATACCTATGATTAAATTAAATTAAATACATATACCTACATAATTTTTTGTTCTAATCGAGGCGTACTTGGAATACACTTTTACAAGTCCTATTAAATCGTTTTATTTTCATATGTGAAGTTAGTGGTAGATAATAATTTGTAATTGTTTATGTAATTTCATCTTAAATATATGTTGAAAGACTGAACATTCTTTGGAATCAGTTGAAATCTTTTTGAAGAAACAATACAATACCTAAGTACTACATGTATGTACAATTGCACTGAAATCTTAAAACTATTGTTGGATATACTTGTCACAGATTCAAGATATAAAAGAAGTTCTGTACCAAAAAGTTTTTATTGCAAAGGTGCATCAATTTCATTGAATACAATCTGCATATGCATGCATCTCTTAATTTATTCATGGTGCCGGACCACGCCCATTTTAACTTGTGTCATTTC